AGTGGGTCCGCGAAGGACTAACTAACAGAGCTATCGACAAACCATTATAGACGGTCCAGGTTATACATTGCAGGACGTTGAGGATGGCTGGACTTCACGCGTACGGGCCTAACTGAAAACGCGGAAACTCACAACACCGTGCGCCCAATCCAATCAATGCGAACCTCTCTATAAATGTACAAAGGCTACCTATTCAATTACTAAAACAATTTATAGTGCCGTCGACCTTCGACTATTATAGCTGTGTACGTTGTTTTTCGGTAAACTGTTAACTTGTATTCTACTTGTAACTTGTAACTAGAAACTATGATCGATCAAGAGACATCAATCCCGATTTGTTCTGTGAGAAACAGTATTGATTTCGCAATTTTATGTGATCTTTGAAAGATCCTCCTCTAATCGAGTTGGACGTCCGACAAGCTAATATAATAATTGTAATCTTCTTATTTTTGTTTTCCTATTTAATATAAACATAAATAGCTAGCAGGCAACGTCTTAGAATTTACTAGTTAATTTTTCGGCCTATGATAGATTGCCTGCTTGGAAACGCTTAGTAACAATAAACCGACAAAGGAGTGCGCAATCAGTGCAAGACTGTGTGTGGATCCCATGATTGTAGCCTTTTTTTACACCGCCATTGCTGCTGGGAACTATCTACACCGACGGGATGCTTCACATGGCTGTATTATCATTGATTACCTTCGATCCAACCTAACTTTCGTGGATGGAGGGCCATTGAGGAAGAGGGCCCGGATGCTAAAAGATATTCCCAAGGACGATGTTAATAATGCGGTTTTATTTGCGTCTGGCCGCCCGCTGATATTACGTATCTATGACTGACGTCTTTGTGTCGTCTCCGTGCCTTTGATCTATAATATTATTGTAAATATTGAACAGCAGGTTTGACTGTTGGCAACAGTCAACGCATCCAATGTGAACGACGTTATAGACCTCTGAACATTCCGTGCGTGATTCTATTCCATTTTCAGTAACGGCCTATAGGGCGAATTCTAGCCAAGCTATATGCGGTCTAATTAGTATCTCTTGTACTTTCGATTATTTACCTTATTACCATTAGCTCGCTTATTGCGTAGCAATAGAATAGATGCTGCTGTTTTGCGATAGGCGCATATTGTTATAGAGACTGTTTCAAACGTTGATTTATAAATGACAAAGGCTATTACAGAATGTATCTTTTGTTTGCATTTTACGAATAGGAAAAAAACAGTTTGCGGAAAAATTAAACTATCATTAATGGTATGACGGCTTTATGTTGTAGGAAACCAAAGCTTGACCACGATCAGAGGTACAGACTAAATGGTAGAGTGGTAAAATGGTTTTGTGTTTTTTCGAATTTATTGAGAACGGATCAACATTAGCCAGCGTAGCATGGGGACCTGCCGGTTAATGGCCGACTGATTTAGTTGGTAACGAAAGAAATCTCGCATCTTAATTGACGCGATGATTTAGACGGCTAGCTATTGGTTGAAGGAAACCAGGCGTCGTGGCTACGAACACCGTTTATACCATACGTAATTACAACATCTGTCTCAGGAGAAAGCATCACACATCTGCAGGTAGATGTTTCATGTAGAAACGATAGATGTATTTGTTTCATTTGTAGCACATTGCTTCGATTCGTATAGGCGTCATACTTCCAACATCAAACAAGACTAATTGGTCATTTCGTCGACAGAGTTCGATTGCAGAGAACTTAACGTAAGGACAGTTCATACAAACTACAATGTATCCATGCTATACCGAAAGGCAGAAACCCCTGTAACAGAATTACGTAATTCTTTTTTGGCCTTGAAGTCTGCACAGAAAATTTGCTGGTTTGTTATGGTGCGCTTTGCGAAAGAGGATTCCTTCAAGGTCCCAGAGCTGGATTCGGCCGAGCTTTTGGCTGGGTTTCTACTAAGAATCATTTGCAGACAGTAGCTGACGCTTTCACAACCTTGTAAATTGCGTTTTGCTAGGCGCGAGGACCCAGTTAAGGATCAGCCGGATCAACGTAAAATTTCCAAACGGATATCTTATGTAGCTCGAAGCGGAAGAAACAGCGGCCCCTAGAAACCGTCCACAGGCAGCCATCGAACATCATTTCTTTACTATCACTCTGATCCTAACCCTTGGACACCCTAAAAGGATTATTATGGTTTTCGCTAGCGTCGAAAGTCAGCAAACCCGACGATGAAAGGACAACCAGATGTATAAATTATATGTTTTCAGGCATTTTTCTTTAATATGCACCTTTAAAAGGCCAAGCCTGTTCTGCTGTCATAGATTACGGCTATGCGTGAGCTGGCAAAGTCTATACGGACCTATCTAAAATCAGCACTTGTAAAAAAATCGATAAAAGCAAACGCTTTTTGTGGCGCTTACATTTGCGTTTCGTCGATTATTTTCTGTAACTGTTCATAAAAATATCATTCGTTCTATTTTAATTGAAAACAGTTTCTACAGTGAGCCATTTCATATGTTCCTGGTCTATATTGACGCGGCCCAATGTTCAGTTGTGCTTTTTTTTGTGTCTAAAGGATCCGACATGCCTCAGTAAACTTCCCACCTCATTGGGCAACCGTAACTGTGTCATTAGAACACGTGGAATAGAACGAAACGTCAAATGGATTTCTACAAGCAGTCCTTCTAGGACGACTGTTACGCGGATGCAGGAACTTTAGTTCCAATAGGACTCTGTAAATACTGCAGATTATCTTAAGCAGCGGGCAAAGCTTCGCACGTTGAGCACGCATTGCTTCACGTTTGGGCCAACATATATAAGCGCAATCAACTTTATTGGCGTATCGTTACGTTCAAAACCCTTTCACGTAAAATTACATAAATACACCGTTCGTTACAGGACAACCGTCTACGACAGTCGGTTATCGACGGCTGCGGTAAAATAATATCATCAGACCTTCTTGGAGGTCTGGGTGGAAAATTTTAGCTAGTATTTTGGGCACACACTGTTACTTACAGACGAATATCAGGACAGCCGTTGCTAATAAGGCCTCGAAATGTTAAGCCTGAAAGTTTGCGAAGCTTTTGGAACGTAAATCGATCGATATAGCTAGTTTAATAGCTATACACACGTGTGCGTGATTGATTAGAACTACGACGTACGAAACCATTTTATATATGCAACTCTCAACAAATAAACTCATGCCTAGCCTAATACCGATCCATAACTAATTGATGGCCAACTTACTATCAGCTGGTCCCCTAAAAGTAGATTGACAGGCTTCTCATTCAAGCTGGCAATGTATTAATCATCGTTGGAATACCCCGACAAAATGTTTCTCTGCTCAAAGATGCAGCAATGTCAATGTTTATTATTATGCAATGTTATCTACAAACAAGGACACCTATTCATGCTTTGCAATTCGAACACATAGGCCTAATTGAGAAATCGTTGCAAACGATAAGGTGTTAATAAGTACTACATATAATCAAATCGTTGGTGGGGAACACCAAGTCGTGCAAAAGACTTCTGTCAAACATTGCAAGACCTAATCCTCCTGTGTCAATTAGCTACTCATGACTCATTAATTGGCCTTCAAACATAGTAAGCATTACACTTGGCTGTTAAAACACTTTACACGCATTTCCTCTTTTGCCGACTAATTCCTTGCCAAATAATGAGGTAAACACTAATAATAACTATAAAAAAAAACAATAATCTATGATTCTATACGGTGGGCGTTTCAGTCTTGATGTAGGATTAATGGTAAGTCCGAGACGATGTTCCTACGATCTAACGTTGTAGCTGAGGTCCTGCCGCTCATACCGGTAAACAACGCTGAGCTGAGCTTCATGCGGCGCATTCATTAAATTAACGATGCGAAAACTCGCTATAGGGTCAATGTTCACCTGAGGATATAATCGGAATGCGTTATTATCACCACACTAACAGCGAGGGCGCAATCCTTACCGGGACAAGGACGGGCAAGTGCTATATCGACATTACCATGTACGCAAGAGGTAAAAAATACAAAAACTGTATTACTACACACTCTGTCGGTTACAGACGTGGCCCTGCTTGGCAAGCCCTTCCGTGTCTTTGGAGGCTTTCAGTGGCTCTTCATTTAGAACCCATGCACTCGTGCATGCTTACCATCAACCCATTACGCAGTTACGCTGTAGAAGGAAGACAGAAGGGCTTCGCGGTACGCGCGGTGCTTTTTTCCATTTGCAATTTCTGGATTTAGCCCATAAGTAGGGCAACTCCTTCACCATCGATCTAAATAATAACTCAAAAATAACTTATTCATGAGCGTAAATAGTTATGATTCCTCGAGGAAAATATGCAAACGTACATTTTTAATATCTTCTATATATTGAAACAACATAAAACTAACATTTGGCGTGCGATCTTGACTTCGCATGTACTACGTACATGTTTAAACCCTCGCTTTTACTTTCCTATATTTTTATAAGCGCACATTAACTGCTATTTCTCTATAAAAGCGTCTTCTTTGACCTTGATTCGTCCCTCTGTTTCGAGACCTCTACCTAAGCTGATATATACTTTAAGGCCGCATTTTCTGCGCATGGCCAGCAGCCTTACACCACCGGCTCCTTTAGTGACTTCGAGCTACTCTCCGCTCTGTTGTATACTCTCCCGGTGTCCTTCTCGGCTGCGCTCCCATCTTCTGCTGATTCTTCTGGAAGCTTCTAGATGGCGGCTCCTTCTTCTCTCTGAGAAAACGACTACGGGAGGGCTCCCCGGATATCCTAGACCATCCCGCAACTGAAAGGTAGGGGGGTAGGTTGTTCATTCCGTCTCCTACTTCCCACAGACCTTTATCGGCCCCTTTTGGGCGCTAGCTTGTGTTCATGTCTAGATTGGCCACCCGGCTCATGCCCACGTTGTCCTGTGTGGGATTGGGACAGGCGTTGGCCCTTCCTCTCTAACTTCGGCTGCCGTTTCGTTAGCCCTCTCCTCAAACAGCAGCAGCCGCCGCGCGGATCCGAGGAGCACAAGCCAGGGACCGGCAATTCACGGCAGCGGAGGCGACAGTGAACAAAGCGGATAGCGAGCGCCCACCAAACTGCTGTCAGCCTAACAGCAGCCACGGACTACCACTCTTACATCTACAAGAGCACTAGGCATTGCCACCTGCGTCTCCGTTACACCTGCCTTGCCTGCTGCCGCTTGCGCACTGCGGTGGGATGCGAGATAAAGAGAGTGAAAAGGAGCAAGCCCCACGCTCAATACCTCCAGTTTACTGGCCGTTCTGTTGTCAGGGGTTCCATTATCCTTAGGCTGTCGACGTCCTCACTTAGAGCGGTCAGAAATTGGTCATCCAATTGACAACATCGCGCGTGGACAAGTAGTCGACAGATAAATTGCAACCACTTTCATTACGAGTCTCGCCACAAACTTTTTCTGACTCGACATTATTTGGTAAAGGCTACCATCAATAAACAAAGGAAAAATACGAAAAAGGCGAAGAAAAAAGAGCGTCAACGCTAGCGGCAATCGAACAGGAACCAACGGAGTGGCGGTCAGAACAGGTTAGCGAAGGCACAAGTTTTAACAAGCTGGGGAATACGCACCTACCTCACAATAGCGAAGAACCAGCTGAGTCAGATCTGAGGAAGCAGGAAGAGAGAAAGAGAAAGAGAGAGAGAGAGAGAGAGAGAGAGAGAGAGAGAGACGAAGGAAAAACGAGTGCAGGATTCGCGTCTCAGATCAGCACACGTACACTAGGAGGAGGACCAGTCATTGATATACGCTATCTAATAGTAGCAATAAAAAGGACGTGTACAAGAAGTTTTCCATTGTGCAGCTGTTGCGACACCCATACCTTGGCCAACGTAAGGACTGAGAGGAACGAAACGGACCAGCAACGATCGTAGTTAAACGTCGTCAGGAATAAGTCGACACATTACAGTGGTGCTTTCGATGATGTGACTCTTTCGGTGATTTGACTATCGCTGGCAACCGTTCTAAGTTTTCTTCGAAAAGTCACTAAGTCCTAACAAGACAGGAAGTTCGATAGACATTTTGCGAACGGCTCTATAACAGAAACCAGGGTGTCGATGCTGTGGTATTTATCTAGCAGTGCAACGGAAGCAATCAGAGTAAGTTCTTCTTTAGCGGTTCGTTTTCCGCATAACGTGATCTAAGTGTTTCTGTAATACTCGCACTAGGGATGTAAAACCTTTTGATGTCATTGTTCCTTGCATTTATTATCGATTCTGTTGCGTTGACGATCCTAGAGCGTAGTATAGAGTTTTGGGCGAAAAACTTAGCTTGCTTATAGAAACCGACGCGGGCTTGCCAATGAATAAGTTCTGCGAGCTATTTAAGCTAAGACAAAATTTTCGCAAGGTTCGCAGATGGAATGGAAATGTCAGTACGGGACAATTGTACTTTGCTTTGGAGATATAGGCAAAATTGTTTGACTATGAGATCTAAGAAATCGTCAGTAAAAATATCGCTACTGATTCAGGATCGATGGTCAGAAATTTCTGCAGGTGATTGTAATACAGTTAAGCCAATAGTAGATCAATTTGATTACTTTTTTTTCTTTTTTTTAACTGTGCCTCACGCAAATCGTCTAAAGTTGTATAAAATTAAATGGCAGTAATTCACTTCAATTAGTCATAGAACTTTTCATATATGAAAGTATTAATCAAATGGTCAATGTAGACACAGGGTTTAGATAAACTGTTAGCTGTTTGTTCAAAAGTTAGGTCTTGCAGCTTCTTAAAGCGACAAAAAATGGAGACAAAAAAGAGGTGCGAGCTTATCTTTTAGGTGTTTCTAAAGCAATTATATAAACCATGTGCGTAAGTCAGTCACAACCTAGGAACTATGGTACAATACATGACGCATACGTAGATTTTGCAAGTCTACGATTCAGTCTAGACATGTGTTTAGCTCTACCTTGGTGAAGTGTGTAAGTATCTCTTAGTTATATGCAACCAATGCAATTGAATGTATATATTTGTGGCTACTATATCCTTAGCTGACTTGCTATCACCGATTGATAACCTGATTAGATACTCATATCTGACATGATCTCCCACTATAATGCTCATTCCCATGAGATAATCGCCGTCAAGGACGAACCTTGATGGCGTTTCTTGTCTATGACTGCCGCTACGTTTAGTTCGGTGGTATCGTTTTAGCGTTTCGTCTGCAGCATCTTTTCAGTGTTGCATATGGCCGTTCGTCCCAGGACTAAGCCGAATGGATGGTGAAGTATATAGGTCTCTATGAAAATTCCTTCTTGACACCGAAACAAGTTCCGTCTTCGACCTTGCTTTCCGGTGAAACTTTTGTATTATCGGACGGATTATTTGGCGATTGATCCGAGACGGAACTTGATGGATCAGCCTCGCAAACAGTAAATAACTACGAAGCGATGGGACCACTGATTTAACGTCAGACTTGTGTTTTTTCCCATCACTTCTGATTTCGGCTGTCGCGGTTCTGTTTGAGACCTGCCGCAAGAGAAGATAATGCCAGTGTCGATCTCCATTGATATGTGCATATTGCATACGCCATTGTGATACTGAAGCATTGCTTGCAGCTTGACATCTCGTATCGATCGGCAACTTATGGACGAAAGCGCGCTCGGCTAATCTAAGCAAGTTCTGTAAAAAAGAAAAGATTTTATAGTGCTTCCATGTCAAGTTTGATGCAGCACTTGGATATTTATTCATAGAAATTCATACAAACTCGAGTGAAGCACATGGGTCATGTCAGGTGGTCCAATAAACGTTTTATTTGGCTTGAGGGTGGTAGCTATTGTACACGTTCCCATGCAGTGATGCGTTTATGCAGAAGATGTATGTATGGCAACATGTATGTTTATTGTTGTACAAGATTGTCCCTATTTAACAACGACAAATTTTAGATCCCAGATAGTAAAAAGAGTATATATTGACCTGCCAATGTCCCGTCGGTGACTTACCGTGCGGCTGACAACAGCTGTTGTTATTCTGTCGTTTTCTCCGCTCGTTGAGCTGAGTTGCGGGCTTTTGTAAAATCAACGCGTGCGACTGGAAACGGAAGTAGCGTGGAGTCACTTAAAATTCTTCGGTTGATAAAAGAAGTGTTAGAGCCACCAAAAACTTGTAGCAGCAGCCTATTTAGGCGTGCATATGTTACTATATTATATTGTAAACGATTTTTATTTAACGATATATTGTAGTGCCCATGTTTGGGCCTGGACCAACTTCCAAATCTAATCCCATTCCCTATCTCGAGTGTCAAAATTTCTGTTGCTCTACTTTTGTTTTCTCCTTCTACGATTTCTCCGCCTGTCTATGGCGCTGCGTCACTGCCTCAGCCCCAAACAGTTCTTTACCAATAGTCATCATCGTCTGGTTAGAAGCAGCAGCAGCCAAACGTATGTCCAGGTGACAAAAAAAAACGCCGCGAAAGGTTCGGCGACTATGGTTACAATCGAGACATGGAAAGACACCAAGCGTCCTGGCGTGCCTATCAGGCTGGCGCATTGATACAATGATGACAGGAGGGACTGCTCTGAGAGAGAAAAGCATTTGCTGTCTCTTTGCAACAATAACCTTCTAGGTGTCTCCCAGCCGATGATTTTCGCAGGCGCCCATTCGTTCCAGCGTCCTTGAAGTTGAACGTTTTGACGCTTCTTTCTGTGTCAAGCCACGAAAGCCGACTTCCAACTTCTTCCAAGTTTTTGCCTCTCTTAACTAGCTCCGTCGCTTTGCCTCAGCTCGCCTCTCTCCTGCCTTTCTCATTGTATTATAATTTTTACGGCGCCAGAGGGCGGCGCTGCTGACAAGAAAACTTCGTCGTCTCTGACCTGCAGGACATGGCAAAACAGTTGGCCTATTGTGCTATCCAGCTAGACGAATACGTGTACAGAAAGACCTCCATGCCTTGTCATGGCAGACACAATTTCAGTAATAGTAGTAGTGAAGGAAAATATCAGAAACATTTTTCCTTTCATCCTTCTTGCTTTTTTTGCGTCGGTGAATGTAGGCAGTGGACCGCCGGTAATGCATGACCGGCCTCATGCGATGTGCGTGAGGGAAACTGTTTTAATTGAGGGCCGTCTCGAGTTTATGTTGGGAGGGCGTCTGCAGGAACACGATCACTGCGGCGGGTAAGAGCAGATTTGAGTCTTTCGTATGTGGATTCAGAGCAGCGAAGTGAAAGGCTTCCATTAATTATAACAATTTCGAAAAAAAAACACACATAATAACACATAGTTAAATTCTGCCTTAAGCCCACAAGATGATCGCAGTGCATAGAAGTAACATAAGTTTGGGTGTAGGTAACACAACTGCTGGTGAACATGGGCTCGCAGTTTTAGTGCTCAGCTTTAGCTGGATTTTTGGCCAGTTTCTTTTTACTTCTACCTACGTATTGTACGTTCCACGGCGTACTCAATAAGGTCACCTGAAATGAACATACACAGATATAGTATAGTACTAGTATACTTTGTTGAGGCTGGAAAAAAGAACGCAGTTAAGTAAAATGTACGCTAACGTGATAGAATCTATGACACCTAATTCAAAACATAGTTTATTAACAAGCGCCGGCGCAGCAAGTGGGTAAAAGTTGTCTAAATTGTCTAATTGTGTTTCTGTTGGCGTTAATTAAAAATGCTTCAGCGATTCGGTAAAACCCACTGGTTAGACAGTGTTACAGTTACCGCTGTAACTTTCATCATTTCATTTGGACGGGAGTGAATTAAGAATACCTCGGTAGTGGTGGGTGATACCTTGGTAATTAAGAATTATAAAATTATCCTACAGAGTACGTTACAGCGATCCTATACCAATCAGGAGTCCACTAATGAAAAAGGGGCAAGAAATGACGGGTAGCACTGTCTGTAACATGAATAGAACACACTTTCCAACAGTGGAATATCTGTATTCTGGGCTTTGTTCGGCTCATTCCATTCTCCAAAGATTCCAATACCAGCTGCAGCATAATAATTAATCAAATTTGCTCTACGAACACGATGTGGCAGGAAGTTCTGATATTACTGAACCAGAACATCCTGCTAGACGTCGTAAACGGGAATACTCTTTTTCGACGAGGTTATATGTGTATCAGTTACTGGTTATATTTACTACAGAGAAGTAGATTCCTAAGCTTCGGGTTTTGCTATATATGCGATATCTCAGGCCTGATGTCCTTTGAAGTGGTTAGATTTAACGGATAAAATCGTCTAGTTCATACGTATTTTACGAATTATTGCATGACTCCGATCAAACTAATGTCAAATTAGAGCCTATGCATATAATTAAAGATTGATTTTACTACCCGAAAGACGGTTCCACTAATTGTTACCTTTCACGAATAACGTCCACACCTTTTAGGTGTCACGCGGCCTTAGTCACATGCACATAGTAGGATATTTGGCCTAGAGGAAATTCTGTATATGCATTCATTATCTGCAATGTAAACGAATTAAAAACAAAAACATGCAAGCAAAAAGAAGGAGAACTTATATGTGATCGTTTTTGCCGTTTTATAAATTGTAACAGGATGTTAATAAATTTTGTACAACACAAACAGAGGATGATCGATTGGGTGGTGAGTGTGGTTTCTGGTGTGACCTGAGTCTTTATATTGGCTGACATACAAGGTTGAGAATGCTTCACAAATTGTTAACGTAGACGTTACCGTAATCTGTCACGGCTACTATCTGTGCGGCCATGATAATTATGATGTATCCATAATGCTTCCTCCTATGTAAGTGTTTAAAAAACTTTTCACATAAAGGACACACCAGCCAGTCACTTTTTACTTAGTGAACCCGTGAGTTGAAAGCAACGCTACTTCATTAAGGACCGAATCAGGTTAATGCAGCAAAAAGATGTTGGAGGTCAAACCTGCGTCCTGTTCAGGGTACGATGGGCATGGGAAATACGCGTGTCATCAATCTATAGTTTGCTAAAAAAACGTCAAAACGAACTCTACTCAATTGAGCCGAGTCATTTCTTGTGTTAAATAGCACTAACACACAAATGAAGAACTCAATAGGTCATTACCTAAAATTAGAAATGTACGATACACACAGTAGTGGATTCAATTAATAGAAGATCTTTAATTTATTTTATTGACGCATACCATGGAT